AGAGCTGCAGACGGGAGGGAATTCGTGCTGGGAAGGGGACAAGGTTGTTTTCTGGGAAGGAGAGCAGGCCGCAGCCTGAGGAAGCTGATGCAAGTCTAGAAGGACCTCCCCGGGACCAGGGGAAGTGGCATTTGCAGTGGGGCAGTGTGCAGGACTGCACGGGTGGGTTCCGAGGTCTGAGGCATGGAGAAAGCACATGGGGGCCCTTAACCCAGGCTGGAGACTGGCCCATGGAAATAACCAGGGCACACAGGGACCCTTTAACTTAGGCAGACAGTCAGGGTGAGGCCAAAGGTACAAGGCCTAGGGGCGTGAGGCCTGCAAGGAGGCCTGGGCTAGGCTGACTAACCTCGGGTGCAGCCAGGAAAGAGACATAAATGGAGAGCCACGGAGGGTGTGATGGCAGGAGTCTGTTCCACAGGCAGGGCACTAACTTCAGCTCAGGGTCAGGGGTGGACCTGTCAGGGAAACTCAGTGACGATGGGTCTCAGGCTAGGGAGGGGCCCCAACCCCTGGGCTGGTCTCGAGGGAGCTGGTATTTAGCTTGAAAAAGTACCCATTAGCCTGAGAACTGGGCTCATTGTCAGGGAGGAGCAACAGGCCAGCCAACCTTTGAATGTCTCCTTTCACAGCTAGGTCTATTTTTAAGTCCTTCTCATTTTTCCTTTCTTGCCCCCTCCTTCCTTCCACCCACACCCTTTGTATGTCTAGGAGTGGGACAGAGAAAGAGGTCCCATGTGGGTGGACTGGCTGGGTTCAGCTTCCGATCCTGCTCCAACAACCACTCCCCTCCTGACGTGGTCGCCCCAAAACACCTAGGAAGAGTGGGGATCACCACCCTTTATTTTTACATAAACCATATCAAACTGTAAGAAGGGTGCGACTCCCCCCCTCCACTCCCCCAACCTGACTTCTGAGGCAGGGGGAGGGCTGGGGAGCAATTCTACTGATCACTCACACCCTCTCTAGGTCTGTTCCTGCAAGGTGGTTGGAGATGGAAATCCGGGTCCCATTTTCCCAATGATGTGATGGAGGCACAGAGAGGAGAGGTCTTTGCCTTTTGGACAAACACCATGGAACACAAAGAATCAGGAATAAATGCTCCTTCTCCCCACCTCCCACCCCACCAAATGGCTATGGCAAAAAGGAGCCAGGAAAGATTGCTCACTCTGGAAATCTCCCTGCACGCCTGCCCCGAGGCCTGGCAACTTGGGGACTCTTCCACACGGAGTGCTCTGGAACAGCCTCTTAGGGGTCAGGTTAGCAGTGGGTACAAAGGCTGCTCGCTGATCCACCAAATCCCTTCTGGGATCTGCCCTGGAGGAAATCTTGCATGCGCATCTAAGGAGGCATATGAGCAGTGCACTGCAATGCTGTTGGTGATGCAAGCACATGAAAAACATGGCAAAGGTCCCTCAGCAGGGGGATGGTGAAATAAACCACCGTATATCCATAAAATGAAATACTACGCAGCGCTAAAAAATAATTTAGAGTTCTATAGACCAATATGGGAAAATACTAAGAATTCTGTGTACAAACCCAACCAACCCAAGTTACTCCAGGTTTCTTATAGTCCCCCCCCCCCCAAATGTATTTTACTGATTCTTTACAGAGAGGAAGAGAGGGAGAGAGAGCCAGAAACATCGATGAGAGAGAAACATCAACCAGCTGCCTCCTGCACTCCCTCCACCAGGGATGTGCCCGCAGCCAATGTACATGCCCTTGACCTGGGACCTTACAGTCACTCTATCCACCCTATCCACTGAGCTAAACCGGTTTTGGCACGTTTCTTATAGTTTTATATAATTTATGGAAAAATAACTCCACAAACAATACCACTCATTTTCCACTTAAAGTTCTGGAAGGGTTCATGCCAAACTGTGAACCACAATTACCTCTTTAAGGGCATGGGGATTGGGAAGGAGTATTTCAGGGGGCTTTCGCTGTTACCTGTGGCAATTTCATATGCCACAGGGAGAATCTAGTAGAGCACATCTCACGTGACGAGAGCATAGTTTTTAAAGGTAATTTCCACTCTGGCACATGACGAAAACCTCACGAAGAAGGACGAGGGGGTGGTGGGACAGAGAAGCTCAGCCTCGTTTGACAGATAAGGCGGCTGGGTTTCCGAGAGTGAGCTGACCTGCCAGCGGGAATCTTAGACCCAAGTTTCTCCCTCTGTGCTCAGGATGACAGGATGCTCCTGTCTCCGACCCGGGCTCCCCGTGTGGGCGCCCCGCACCTAACCAGCTCCGGGCAGGATCGACCAGAGGCCCCTGGCTGAGGCGGGCGCTGCCTTCGTTCCAGGACATGGCATTGTTGCCGAGTCCCACTTGACCTGAGGCAGGTTGTTTCCCACCCGAAAGCTCTGACCTTCGTGTGTGCTTTTCCTGTGTGTCAGGCATTGTTCTCAGTTTCCATAGACGTGTTTACTCTCATGACTGTTCTGAAGCAGTACTGTGATTGTTTTCCTGATTGTGTAGATGGGAAACTGAGGAACAGAGTGGTTAAGAAGTTGTTAAAAATCAATCACTTAGCAAGTGGCAAAGCTGGGTGAGTGGGAAGCTCTTATTCTCTATGTTACCCTGCCTCTTATAAGCTTCTTATTCCTGGGCGTCTCCAAGGAGCAGCCTGGAGCCAGAAGGCGGGGATGCCAACCACCAGTGTCCAGGGCCCTCGTACCTCATGTCTTTACAGGGATCCCGGGAGGCCAGACCCTGCCTGTTCCCACTTTCCCTCTGACGCTGACTCAGAAACAACAGGTCGTTGTTATGCCCCTACTATGTGGCCGGCACTTTCCCATCTGTGTTCTTATTCAACCCACAGCAAAGCAGTTACTGTGAATGCTCCCATTTTAGAGACAGGAGGCTGAGTTGCATGACAGAAAGCAACTGGTCAGCAGTAACACAGCAGGAGGGAGAGACGAGGATGATTCCAGAAGAAGGTCTAACGGAGAACGCTGTGACTGTGGTAGGAAGCCAACACGCGGTGGAGGACCTTGGAGCTCAGAAAGTCACACATGGGAGGCCCCGCTGCTCCATCAGTTCTTCAGCTCTTCCAGGCACGGTACCCACATCTGATTCAGATCTCAGATTCAGGCCACATTCCCAATAACTACTATAATTTTCCTGCTCCCAGGTTCCGTGACCTCAGGGATGCCCAGAAAAGGCAAATCCATCTCTAAGCAGGCAAGGCAAGCTAACTCAACGTTCCCTTTCCTTCTCCCCCAAAAGTCACTAGTTCCTTTCCAGGAAACAGGGACGAGTGGAGAGGTAAGCGATGGCCCCCAGGACTGAGGCAAAAAGCAAACGAACACTGGGCTTGGAGCCAGCCAGACCCGTTTTTGAATCCCGACCCCCTCCCCCCAACCACCAGCAGTGAGGTCTTGGCAAACCACTTAAACTTTCTGAACCTCTTATGTTCTCAACTGTAAAATAAGGATGATGGTACTGACTTTGAAACTGTTATAAGGAATAAAAGAGAAAACAAATATGCAAGCGTTTAGTGCCAGGAAAGCACTCACTCTATCTAGAAGGGGGAGAAGCAGGAACAAGAGTGAAAGGGGGAGGGGACTTGGGGCCCGGTGGGAAAGTCCTCTTCAGGGTTCCCCATGGCACTGGCCAGGTCACTTTATGAAAACACTAAAGATAAATGATTTTTTAAAAGAAATCGAGGGTATAAAAACAAAATGGAAGACATAACCATTCATAAAATGCTTGGAAAGGGCCACGCACTCCTGCTGAATGCTTCTGCGTGGATAGTCTTTCATCAGTGACACAACTCCCCTAGGATGGGAAGGCGATGACAGAGTGCGGAAGACGGACACAGGACAAGGTGCCTAAAGGAGGTCTGTCAGGTAGGAGGCAGTGTGCCTCTGCCTTCCCAGCTACTCCCCACAGGCAGGCAGGAGAGGGGCCCAGAAGATGGAGTGGAGAGAATTTCAAGCCTCTAACCCTTCCTCGCCTGTCCCCTGTGGTCTCAATTCCTGGCTCTCATCACCCTGTGGTATTTCCCTGGTAACACTGAATAGCAGCTGTGTGACGCTGGGCAAGTTCTTTACCTCTCTGTTTCTTCACATGTAAAATATGGACAGTGATTCTCGGTCCCCAGAAAGGGAATGTGGAAGGAATGAGATGATGTCAGTGGATGGAAGTGAAGCAGGGCTCACCAAGAACACCCAATAGCGAGCACATATATTGTGGATTCATACAACTGAGGATCAGAAATATACTTTTAAAAAACCACAGAAAGTTCCAAAAAGCAAAACTTGAAGGCACACAAATAAAAATGATACATGGGCACACCCTGCTGTAGCCTCCATGCAAATAGATTATAGAAGGGGCTTGAGTAGCCGTGGATTTTGGTATCTGTGGGGATTCTGGAACTATTCCCTGAGGATACTGTGGGACAACGGTAATTAATTACCACCGTGTCCCAGTGCTCCATAGGCAGGTCTGGGTCTCCACTGAGACTGGGATCCAATGACTATCTGCCTCCAACAAAGGGCTAGGCAGCCCTTCTCTCAGCCCCACCTCCCAGTGCACCACTGCAGGGTTTGGAGAAACCAACTTTCTCCCCAGACTTCTGGGTACAGTTAAGGAAACTCACTCAGATCCTTTCACTCATCTCACCCTCATGCTCCCCGCTTTGCAGACGAGGAAACTGAGATCCAGGGGCCCATGTCATTAGACTCGAGGTCTGTCTTGATTCCTTCAGGAAGCTTTATTCTAGTTCATCCCCAAAGGTTCTGGGAAGCCCAAACTTCCACAGACCCAGGAGGGTACCAGCAGGAGTAGTCGCCCTTGCATCACCAACCCAGGACCCCGTGTCTGCCGTGTGTCTTAATGCTGCAGTCCCGGCTGCTCTGCGACTCAGGCAGAGCTCTGAATCCAGCGCGGGCCTGGCTGTTTGCCGACAGCTCCCTCCACAGCCTCTCTCCACCTTCACATCTCTGATCCCCCACATCCCAGTGGTCCCTTACCCTGGGTGGGGCACCCTACCTTGTTGGTGAGGCTGGGGTCTCTTGGAGCACTGTCCTCCTCCTCTGAGCTTCCCTGCTCTTCATCCGACGTGAGGTCCTCCTTGGGGGCTGCGGCTGAGATGGGACAGACCTTGTAGGGTTCTGTGTAGGCACTGGGGTCAGAGAAGAGGAGAGAGAAGGTTAGAGCTCTGTGTCCAGCGAAGGCCAAGTATATCGGCCAGGGGACCGGTTAATGCTATAAGCCAGTAACAACATGCAGAGCGCTCTGTGCCCTCCAAGGAGATCCAGGAGTGAGGAAGACGCAGACGCAAACCTTTCTACCTGCCCCCATTCTAGCCATGCTGGCCTCCTTTAAGTTTCTCGAACATGTCAAACTCTTCCCTAGTGCTTTGCACATGCTGTCTAAGACAAACCCATCTCCTGTTAGATACAAGGCAGGCTGTGTTGCTAAAGGAAGGTAGAAATAATTACTATGAGGAGAAGAGATATTCAATATGATTGATCTGGTGGTCTAGACTGGCTGATCAGACAACAGGGTCAGTCCACACGTGGCCATGTACTCTGAGCCTAAGAAGAAATGCAAGAAGGTGGTAGACAAAGTGTGGGATACACATGCCGGCCCCTAATCCCAGCTCTGCCATGAGCTAGGTCATGGACAAGACACATCTCAGGATATTAGTTTTCATCTAGTCTTCTTGGGGATTATTCCCATCTCACGTTCTTGGCAGGTGCGATGAGGATCAATGCTTGAAAGGCATATACAGTTGACCCTTGAATAACACTGGGGTCAGGGGTACCAATCACCTCCGCAGTCGAAAATCCGAGTATAACTTAAGTTGGCCCTCTATACACATGGGTTTCCAACTGGATAGAAAGCACCACTGACCCTTGAACAAACGTGTTTAAGTGTAGTACAAACCCGCATTGTTCAAGGGTCAACTCTAGAGGTATGATAACAATCTCATATCTATACTGCTATGGCTACTAAGTATGCATTCCATTAATTAATTCATATATGCACTCAATAAATACTTATTGATTTCCTGCTTTATGTCAAGCACAGAGCTAGACAACCAGTAAAACACAAGTGACTAAAGCAGAGATGGTCCCTGTTCTCAAAAAGGAACACCTAATGTATGATCACACATTGTGAAAAGTAAAGGATGGGAAGGAGGTGCTTTCATAGAGAATAACGAAGTGGAACTGTTTAGATGGTTCAGGGAGGGCCTCTCTGAGTGTGAGACCAGGAGGAGAAGGAGCCAGCTTGGTGACAGCACAAGGATGTGTTCCGGGCCGGGAAAGCAGCTACGGAAAGGCACGGAGGCAGCAAAGCGCTTGGCATGTGGCACAGACCGACCTGGAGAAGACTTCTCCCTTCTGGAATTCCATCCCCACAGAGGCGGCTCTGGCCCCATAATAACCCCCTTGCCCTGATCCCTGTTCCTGGCCTCTCTCTCCACACAGCAGAGTAACTAACTGTTCTACAGTAGAGATTGGGCCATACTCCTCTCCTGCTCAGAAATCTTCCTTTGGCAAGATGGTCCCAGTCTTCTCACAAGACCCTGCTCCCCCCTTAAGAGGGTCCATGACTTCCTGTGGAGGATTACCAATCGTGGTAAGAGATGGAGCAGTTGACTGTGTCCCTGTACTCTGAAGTGGAGAGAATGTCATGAGGAGAAGAAGGAACATTTCAGGCCTTTCCTAGAATGTGTTGTAAAGGAGGAAAGGGCTCCCAGTCAAGCTTCCCACAGGGTGCTGGTGTCACCATGCTCCTAAGCAGCAAGCCAGAAATCTGAGCATCTCCTTGCACAGCCAGCCCCTACTTAAGCATTACAACCCCTTCCAGTTTTGCTGTTAAATATCTCTCACCACTGCTTGCATCTCTATCCTAGCCTCTGTGGTCCAAGCCATCTGTGGCCTGGACAGACATCTGTAACAGCTGCTTTCCTGTTCTTTCCCGTCCCACCCTGGCTGCCCTCCAATCTGTTCTCCACCCGATAGCCAGAGGGACCTTGTCAAACCCAATCTGAATGTGTCACCCTCTTGCTTAAGTTGTTCAGGGATATTCCAGTGCTGTTAGAAGTCAAATCCTACAGCTTAGCCTGTCAGGCAAGGCTCTGCTCAACTCGGGACATGGGAAGGTGGGTGTCCTTGGGCCCTGATGCTTGCTGTGAAGTCTGCCCAACATCAGATGCTGCTGGGCATCACAGAACTGAGGGTTCTGGCTCAAACCAAGCACAGGGCTGTATTCCATGGAGCCCAGCTGAGCCCTGGGGAGAGAGCTCACGAAAGCCACCCATTCCCACTCAGCCCCCGGAGAAGAGGAGGCACTGGATCAAATCCAGGCCAAAACATGTTACCTCTGCAGAGGCCTCTCCCAATGCTCAATCCCATTTTATAGGCATGAATTCCCTCAGAGTGCTGAGGAGTGTTGATGTCAGGCTACAAGGGCAAAGCAGGTTTGTTTTTTGTTATTTGTGCTGTTTTTTTTAAATTTTATTTTAAGAGGCAGAGGATTGCAGAGATGAGAGCTCACATTCCCATGTGAGACTGCGTTCAAATCCTGGCACGCCACTTATTGGCCATGTTTAACCTTTCCAAGCCTCAGCAGTGCCTAATTAATTGAACTGTTGGGGGATTAATGAGTTAAATCATGTAAAACAGCTCTCTTATTTTATTATTTATTTACTGTTGTCTTCAAGTCAACTAATTTTTAGCATATGCTATAACTCTGGTTCCATCCTAAGTGATAATACCCATGAAGTCACACTGTGTGTTCTTCTAACACTTTAAAATAAAACATATAGCCCTAGCTGATTTGGCTCAGTGGATAAGAGTATCTGAATGTTCCTGAGTTTGAATCTGGTCAAGGGCACGTACCTCCGTGGCAGGTTTCCTGGCACCAGTTGGGGTGTGTGCAGGAGGCAACCAATCAATGTGTCTCTCTCACATAGATGTTTCTCTCTGTCTCTTCCTCTCCTTCCCACTCTCTTTAAATATCAGTGGGAAAATACCCTCAGATGAGGATTAACAATAAAATAAAATCTATATATATAAATCCCTAAGCGACTGGTCAACTGTTTGACCAGTCCACTTACTATGATGTGCACTGACCACCATGGGGTAGACACTCAATGCAGGAGATGCCCCCTGGTGGTCAGTGCGCTCCCACAGCAGAAGCACCACTCAGCTGACCTGACAGGCACCAGATGCTGGGCTCATGGCTGGCGAGCCCAGCTGCAGCAGTACGAGCCTCTCCCTCCTCCTTTGCAGTGCTACGGAGCGGCGGCAGGTGCAGTGGACAGAGATGAGTGGGCGCTGGCTGCTCTAGCAGGGCTCAGGTTCCTCCCTGGCAGTCTGTGGGAGCATCTCACACACTACTACATCCCCAGAGTGCAGTGGACAGAGATGAGCATCTCACACACTACTACATCCCCAGGTGCAGTGGACAGAGATGAGTGGGCGCTGGCTGCTCTAGCAGGGCTCAGGTTCCTCCCTGGCAGTCTGTGGGAGCATCTCACACACTACTACATCCTCAGAGTGGTCCCAGATATTGACAGGGCGCAGGCCAGGCTGAGGAACCCCACCAGTGCATGAATATGTGCACTGGGCCTCTAGTAAACCATATAATTAATATTAATCTATAACATTTGACTCAAATGATCTTGCTCAGCATTGGAAATTCCCAGATCTCACAGAAATAAACCCGGTGACCTCTGACCCACCAACCATCTGTCCTCAGTCCAACCTCAGCTTTGGCTAGAAATGTGGCCCATACTCTTTTATTTCTACTTCTTCTTGTGACTTCTGGTTTCTCAAAAGATTCCCTAAAACAGAAGTCAGGAGGCAAAGGTTCAGGTGCTCTGATGATATTTCTGACTTTTTATGTCACTGTGAACACAACAAATGAGGATAAACTGCCAGTAAAAATGTGCTTTCACTACAGAAAATAGCAAGTACCATCCAATGTCTTTGACGTCTCAATGGAAGTTATAGCGACAGACCTCATCTTGGGGAGAAATCAGTTAAATAAGCAAACCAAAACATTCTGATTCTAAGACCACAGGTGTCTACAGATCTGCTCCTTCAGACCCTTGATAGTTGCTACCAGGCTGAGCTTCGAACCCAGGGAAAGAAAAAACAGTCTGAGAAATGTTTCCTTGACACCTTCTGTCCAAATGCTCTGGCAGGCAGGCCTTGGCAGAACTTGTGTCTTAGGTGAAAAAACACTTCTTCCCTTGAGGAAACTGACTGGGAACCTTTACATACCACATCCATCTCCCCAGTCCGTCAACATACAACTCTGAGATGGATCCTTTGCACAGTATGCTCTAAGGAAGACTGCAAAGCTTTATATTTTTGGCTAGCTGGTGCCTGTTTGTTTGGTTTTTCAGTCATCCAAAAAAAAAAAAAAAAAAAAAAAAAAACCCAAAGAAACACAAAAACTATTAAGACTCCTCTATGTTCCAGGCTCTGTCTTATAGGTACTAATGGAACACAAATAGACAATGTTTTTATTCTACAACCTCTCTAATTGAAATACCTATTATATGCCAAAACCGGTTTGGCTCGGTGGATAGAGCGTCGGCTTGGGGACTGAAGGGTCCTGAGTTCGATTCTGGTCAAGGGCATGTACCTTGGTTGTTTCTAACTCTCTATCTCTCTCCCTTCCTCTCTGTACAAAATCAATAAAATATATTTTTTAAAAAGAAAAGAAATATCTATTATAATCATAACTACGTGAGGTATTGTTTCTAGACAGCTTCTGTGCATCTACCAATACATTACACATAAGAAAGCCCTCTAACTCAACCACGGACCCATCTGTATCCTCTTCTATCCACTCATCCACCCATCTGACCATCCATCCAACTACACATCCACTTAGCCATTTATCCAGCCATCCTCCCATCTACCCCCTTAGCTATCCAGCCATCCAATCATCCACCCTTCTACCCACCCATTCCTTCACTCACTTATTCAACAAATACAAATTAGCGCCTATTTCAAGGAGCTAACACATGGAGGAATCAAAGGTGACTGGAGTACTCTCTCTGGCCTCAAAGAAAGTACAGGGCAAAGTACTGGTTAAGAGGGTGGATTCAGAACTCGGACTGCTTGGTTTGAATTCCAGCTCTACTTTAGGCAAGTC